TACAATTCAATATATATATATATATATATATATATATATATATATATATATATATATATACACTATATTTGAATCATAATCAAAAAACTAAATACAAATTTCAAATTTAAATTTTTTATCAAATGCACCTGAAAGATATAAAATGAATGTATTCCTTATATACCGAATTTATTTGAATCATTACAAAATAATTTAATACCGTTAAACATAATCACTTGCAACACACTGCATTATTTAAACTTTTTTTAATAAAAATAAAACGTTATTTATAAAAGATTCAGAAAAGTGTAACATATAATATACAAAATAAACTGCAGTGCATTGGATATACAAAACAAAGCTTAAAAAAACGAACCAGAAAAAATGAACTTGCATTTTATAAATGTAATACTTCGTCAAACTGTCATAACACATTTAGTTACTTCATTCACGAGTCCTCTTATAGCTGATTATTAGTGTTATTTGAGACTTTGAAGATTGAAAATGAAGTTTTAAAGTATATATAAACGGTAGTAATTGTGATTACATATATAGAGTGTTCTTGAGAATAAATTATAGAATTTTGAAGGTATACCGTACAGATTAAATGTGGTTCCTGTAGAATTTATGTTAAAAGTTTATGTGAATAATAATACAACCGTTTATGCAGAAGGATAAAAACAGACTGACTGATTATATATTCTTTAACTAATCACATGCATTACAAACATTATTAACAATCACTTGTTTTTACATAAAACAAAAGACAAACATATATACATAAACATAGTAGACACAGAGCGTTTAGTATTAAACTTCAACACCCCCACTATACTAAACAACTTGTGTACTCATACCTAACAGCTTTAAAAACTTCAAATGCTTATGTACACTTAAGCTCTTCGTGAATATATCAGCAAGCATATCATTTGTCTGCATATACTTTAGATCGATCACACCATCTGCAATTGCTTCCCTGATGAAATGATGTCTCACATCAATGTGTTTTGATCTTTTGTGGAAAACTGGATTGTATGAGAGTTTTTGCGCTGACTTGTTATCATTGTAAATACGTACACTCTCATCTACATCCGTTAACTCCATTAACAAATTTTTTAAGTATATCGCTTCTTTGGAAGCATCTGATATTGCCATGTACTCGGCTTCTGTACTTGACAATGCTACAGTTTTCTGTTTAGAGCGTTCCCAAGATATAATACTATTGGAGAATTTGAAACAGAAACCTGTGTATGATTTTCTATCAACGTTGTCACTTGCCCAGTCTGCATCAGTATATCCTACTAGATTCTCTGAATCCTTCCTAAATTTTAAGCCATACTTCTTAGTGCCCTGCAAATACTTTAGCACCCTCTTTGCACTTTTGAAGTGACTGCTATCATAGCAATTGTTAAATTGGCTAAGATAACTCAGACTATACGCAATATCAGGTCTTGTCATAACAACTAAATACATTAGACTTCCAATGAGTTGTTGATAGGGTAACTCCTGTTCAATTTTACCTGAAGACAATTTCAAATCACTTTCCATAGGTGTACCTGCTTGTTTGCAATCTTGCATATTGAATTTATTTAGTAGTTGATCTATATACCTCTCCTGATCCAATATTATACTACCATCTTTTTCATAATTGATCCTGATTCCTAAGCAACATTTGGCTTTACCTAAATCTTTGATTTTGAACTTTAAATTCAATTCGGTCTTCAATTTACTATTTTCAGCTATATCATTTGAAAAAACGAAAAAATCATCAACATACAATGCTATTACAGTCATAGTATTATTATTACCTTTTATAAACATGCATGGTTCATACTTAGATTTTCTGTAACCCAGCCCAAGTTAAACTGTCTCAACCTTTTGATACCAAACTCGAGACGATTGTTTCAAACCATATACAGCTTTGTTTAATTTCAATACTTTGCTACTGTTATCTCTATAGCCATCTGGTTTCTTCATATATACCAATTCTTTTAAATGTCCATTCAGAAAAGCTGTTGTGACGTCTAAATGCGTTATGCTTAATCCTAATCTTACTGATAAAGCCATTAATAATCTTAAGGTTGAATGCCTAACGACTGGAGAAAAAGTCTCATCATAATCTACACCATACTGTTGAGTGAAACCTCGAGCTACCAACCGAGCTCTATATAGTACTTGGTTTTCAGTATCTACTTTTCGTTTAAAAACCCACTTGCAGTCCACTATACTACAGTTTTCTGGCATATTCACTAACTTCCCAGGCCTTATTTTCCTCAAAAGATTTTAATTCTTCAGCTATAGCGTCCATCCAATATTGCTTGTCTGGTCTTGACATTGCTTCCTTAATTGTTTTTTGTTCTTCCATTGGAAAGTTGTTACACGCATATGTGACATAATCATCAAACGTTTTCTTCTTTCTTATTCTTTCAGACTTTCGTCTTTCTATAATATTTTGTTCATGATCACTGCCAGCATTTTGATCCTTTTCTTCAGTTACAGGCTGCATTTCATTAACCCCCACTGAAACACTGTTCTCTACTGGTTCTATTGGGTTCTTGCTAGGCACATCGTCAATAGTTTCCATTATAACTACATTTCTACTTGTGGAAATTTTATTTGTGACTGGATCAAATAATCTATATCCTTTAACGTTGTCTGCATATCCGATCAAAATTTTTCTAACAGATTTTCTGTCCCATTTTGATCTCTTCTGCTTCGGTACATGATCCATTACAACGCTTCCAAATATCTTAATGTGACTAACATCAGGCTTTTTCTTCCACCATAATTCAAAAGGTGTTTTTGTTAGATCACTTGTTACACTTCTGTTCTTCAAATACGCTGCTGTATTAACAGCCTCTGCCCAGAACTTCTTATCTAACTGACCATCAAATATTAGACATCTGGCCTTTTCTACCAATGTCCGATTTAGTCTTTCAGCAATCCTATTTTGTTCAGGTGTATATGGATTCGTTCTTTGATGAATAATACCATTTTCTTTCAAATACTCCTGAAATACTTTATTACAATATTCGCCACCGTTATTAGTTCTTAGTGTTTTAATTGGCATACCCTGTTGCTTTTCAACGACAGCCCTAAACTCTTTGAAGCAACGAAGAACTTCATCCTTTGACTTTAAAAAATAAACAAAACACATCTTTGAATAGTCATCTTGAAAACTCAAGAAATATCGCAAACCACCTATAGATAACTGTTCCATTGGACCGCAAACATCAGAGTGAACTAATTCCAGAACTTTTACTGCTCTTGAACCTTTGTGTTTGAATGGCAATCTAGTTTGCTTTCCTTCACAACAAACTATACAATTATTTATGTCTGATGTTGCCTTCTCGGATATGGTGAGTCCTTTCACCAAGCACAATTTACTCAATTTACACAAATCTGTTTTATTTATATGTCCTAACCGTCTATGCCATAAATTTCCTGACTTAGGATCTGTAACTAACAAACAATTAATATTATTTATCATGAGTTTATATACTCCACCTGTAAGTACCGCCACTGCAACCAAAGTGTTATTTTTATCATAAATTTTGCATTTATTATCATTGAATACAACCCTGTTACCCTTTCTGGTAAGAGCGCTAACAGATAATAAATTAGCTGACAATTGTGGCACATAATGAGCATCCTGTACTTCAACATCATAAGTTTGACCATAAACCTCTGTCCTAAGAGAAACACTGCCACAAGACACTACCTTCAATTGCATATTGTTAGCTGTCCTTACTTCCTGCACATCAGGTTTCTTGTTGTATTCTCTTAAACTGTTATTGTCATTCACAAGATGAATACTGGCTCCAGAATCAATATACCTATCTGTTTTGTTGTAACTACCAGTTGAAAAAACTCTGTTAAACTCATTTTTATCAGGCTCATTATTCACAGTATTGAAACGACATTTACTTTTATAATGGCCAAGTCGTTTGCATTTAAAACACCTAACTTCCTTTTTAGTATCAAAATTATTGGAGTTTGAATCTTGGCGCTGCTTATACCTGCCATTTTGTTTTGCTACAAAGGCGCTCTCATCATTATTAACTGCAACATCGTTGCCTATATCCAGCAGCTTTGTTTTTATTGTGTCCGTTGTAATGGCTATACCGGAATGCTCAATCGCCATAATCATCGGCGAAAACTTTTCCGGCAATCCTGCCAAGAGCAAAGAGCCTATCCACTCATCATCAATATTAAATCCTGTTCCCCTCAATCTCTGCCCTGTTTCTATTATTTGATTGACATATGAGCTCATGGATTCACAATTAATTAATCTAGTAGAAATTAATGTCCTTAAGAGATTAATCCTTCGAGTGAAACCTGAATCACTATACATCGCCTTTAATTTGGACCATAGCTGGGCTGAGGTTTTTGTTTCTTTTACATGTACATATAAACTTGTATCTAATGTTAATATCAATTTTGCTCTTGCCTTTTTATCCTTGATCACATCAATTTCTGCCTCGTGCTTTGGCTCTACAATGCATTCTGCTAAATCTTCTAAGATTAGAAAATTTTCTGCTGCAAACGCCCAATCGTCAAATGTTTCACGTCCTTTTAACTTCGGTACATTCACCAAGTATCCCGACGACATAATGATTAAAAAAACACTAAACTGTTATTCAATAAACTTTAAAAAAACATGGGATCTGGGCCCACAACCTGTAGAATTTATGTTAAAAGTTTATGTGAATAATAATACAACCGTTTATGCAGAAGGATAAAAACAGACTGACTGATTATATATTCTTTAACTAATCACATGCATTACAAACATTATTAACAATCACTTGTTTTTACATAAAACAAAAGACAAACATATATACATAAACATAGTAGACACAGAGCGTTTAGTATTAAACTTCAACAGTTCCAAGATATCCAGTGTATGTGGAAGTTGAATACTTCCCAGGAAGAAACTTTAATATACTCATCCTTATATTGAAATTTGTAAATGAGTGAATAATTAAAGACAATATCTATGAGTAATCAGTAGAACACACATTATGTTCGTCCACTAATTCTTGTATTATAGGTTGTATAAGTGACAGATACAGCTTCTGCTTTTTTAACAATTCTTGTTCGAATTTCTCTAAACTTACACCATCCATTTTGAAAAATGTTACATGAAACGAATAAAAACAACGAAAACCAAAAACTTAAATAGCCAAAATAAAATTAATGCTTTTTGCAAACGACAAATAACGATCACTGAAACTGACTCTAGTCAGGCCCTATTATCTCAGTACAAAATCCGCGTTCGCAAAGCGTAGTTCCAGTCACGACCGGTAGGCGCAAATTTGGCGCTAGTGAGCCGATGACAAGTTTGACAGGTTAGTAATTCACGAGCAATATGTACCAGAAATGTCAAAATTTTGTTTTGATTCTTATTGTGATTGTTGTGTTTACAAGTGTTTTATAATTGTTTATACGGTTTTATTTGTGATTCAAACAAAATCTATAACTCTTAAATGAAGAGGATATAAAGCAGTTGTTAAAGCAGTGTATATAATAAAAATTTAATCACAATACATTTTGGGAGCAAGCTAGGGCTCTTTTATAAGAAAGGCAAGGCTCCTCTAACTTTTCAGAATTGTATTAAACTTTGGAGGCTCTTAAATATATATGGAAAAGCATAAATAGACTAGACTTTACATTTTTAGGAACGCCACTGAGTTAATGAACGAAATCCAATTGCCGCGCAAGATGATAAAATAAGTTAATTTAATGCAGCAGTTTTTTGAATATTCAAGATAATATCAAGAGTCATTTAGCATGACTGGATTTATCGCAAAGAATGTGCTGAAAAGTGACAAATCTTACTTGGAATGATTATTAGTTAATAAAGTAATGCACAGACACTATAATTTAAACACCATGTTTTGTGTTCACAACATTATTGGTAGTGAATAATGAATTATTATCCACTTGAAGGCAGGAATCCTGTAATTCGTTAAACTTTTTATTTTTCCTTTTTTTTAAATAAATATGTTTGTTGCAACATATTGCTATTTACTTTGATATCTATTTTAATATATGTTGTTGTGCCCCATCCAGCGACGGAGCCAACAAAATGTAGGTTCTTCCTGCTGCTAAGTATCAAGCTGGTACCAGAATGTGAAATGGAATCAGTAAAACAGATGAAGACTTTTGATGTTGACGTTTATTTCATGATTCTTGTACACTTTTCATATAATTTGAACACTGAACTTAAATATAACTCCATTGATTACTTTATATTACTCAAAATGACTGAATTTTATTATAACTGGATTACAACTGAACTATATTGATCTTAACCCATACTGATCTTGACCCATACCCATACTGACTCAAACTGACTGTTTATTGCATCATCCAGAACCTTAAATACTCCTTATCGGTATGACGCATTCCTTTTCTAGAATGTTCAATATATGTGAGTCAGAAACTACGCTTTACTTGGTCGTCGGACACAGTTTGCGGTTTCAAAAGGAATTTTATCAACCCTTGCAAGGTTACTGCAAGCTTACAATGTAACTATGAGCAATACTAATTGCGTCGTTCATATTCTGGCCGTTATATAGTAATTTATAATATTATTCATAATTATTGTAAAGGGTGAATACCACTACAATGTATTATTGTTTGGTATGTTTTGTTATTGTATAACAATGTCAATATAAGACTATTGTAATGCAAAATTTAAATACAAATAAATTATTTTTAAAATTGACAATTTTCTTTTATTTCTAATTTTGGCGCTTTAATTTGAATGCATTTTGGAGCACGAGGCTGCCGAGCGACATGCGATTAAAGCGCCATCACCCAACATTGCGGTCGTGACTTTCCCTAGCTCTCTGAACGCAAATACCGCGAGAGAGAAACGTCTATAGTCAAATATTGACTGATGCCGGACCGTATTTATGTGTTTGGTCTGGGATGGATGTGTCCATAGACCTTATACAATTTCATGGACTGCTAGTCCCCATCCATTTCTCAAGTAAAAAAGTGTCAAAAGATGTTCTATGGTATGAGGGCATACGAGGGTAATTTCGCGGCCGAGATATGTCAAACTCGATCGCTTAAACGTCAAATGAAAGTCCGTGTATTCGAAATGTTGGCAAAATATTTATGATATACAATTTATGTTGAACTAATGAATGTAATGAACTATTTATTTATTAATTTATTTATTTTAGTTATACAAAGTGTTTAAGGGAAATTAGAAAAAAAATTAAAACAATATTTTACATATTATAAAATCCACTGAAAATAAGGACAGTTGGCTAGAGCTATTATGGGAAATTAGAAAGCAATAATGAAATATTTGTTTAAATGTAATATATTTATTATTGGTGTTTAAAAAGCACAATTTTCGTATGAAGGCGGAGTATATATTTATCAACTTTGCTTTTCTTTCTTTCTTCATGGTGCATTCTAATTGTTAAGTAAATTTTTGCGACAAAGTTGATAAGGTCATGATAATGCTGGACAAATTGCTGAAAATAACTTGATCTAAAAAAATGTGCAAGTCCCAAGTCATTCAACTTTCAGAGAATCATGCTTTCATATGAACTTTTGTACATTAAATTTAAAGAATTTTGAATTAGGCTTTCTATATATAAACATAAATTAAACATTTCTTCGGAAGGATATGAAAGATATCCTCGATTTTTTATATCGATCAATGTCGAATTTTCCGGAATACTTGCGAAGCATACAGAACAGCACAAAACAGGTTTTACTGCAATCAGGCACCTTACCTAACACATTTTAGAAGACATTTTACTTTTAACAATTTTACAACAGGTATATTTTTAATCCTCTTTTAGTTTAAAAACCCGAACCATCAAACATCACGTGAACCCAAGTAACTGTAAATTTAAGCGATCGGGTGCATTCGACTAATCTCGGTAAAGCTCGTGTTCGTATTTGACATATCTCGGCCGCAAAATTACCCTCGTTCGCCCTCATACCATGAACATCTTTTGACACTTTTTATGCGCTCAACTAGCAGTCCATGCATAGATAAAGAAGAGTATATAGATCGCTCTCTCGGCCATATTTCGTTGCCACATTCCTGTGTTAGTTGAAGCCCCCCGCTACAGATGGCACTAGTCGCCTGAACGGGTGCGTATAAAAAATACTATAGAAATGAACCAAAATTATATGGCCGTTTTAATTCAAAATTTAAAAAAAAATGAAAAAAAAAAATTTAAAAGCATTTATTTTTCACAAAAACATTCTACATTATATCTACATAGTTCTCTTTATAAACAATGCACACATAGCATAGAAATGTACATAAATATACACATTATCCACAATGTGTGTATATATATATATATATATATATATATTAACAAAGTCTAATAATCGGGCATAACATCAATAAAAAACATGAATTTCTTTCAAAAATTTATTTTAAATCCATACGTTTCGGCTATAATCCTAGCCTTCATTCAGTGGAAACTAAAAATAAAATTAAAAACTAAAACAATTGAATTGGAGTGGAAAGAAAAAAATAAAATAGTAATTAGTACTTACAATTAGTTGATCTTAGTGTTAAATTGGAAAATTTTAATAATCCATGGTATTAGGATATGGTAATGCACTACACTATGTATTATAAACATTAACTTGAAATTACACAATATTTTCACAAAATACTGATTTGAAAAATCACAAATAATAGTGTGTTTATTCGTAGACTGGTTGAAGATGTAATGGAGAAGTCATTTTTTAAAAAATATTTTTACCAAGATTCTGCACATGTGTGGAACGAATTGTAAAACCTTGCGCGAACGCTTTTATTGTTTTGTAAGAAATTTGGAAATGTTATCTAAATAGAAGAGATTTGTGTCGCACAGCGTGTTGAGTTCATTCCGTTTATTTATTGTCTTATTGTTTATAAATAGTTAAAAAGATCCCTCTATAATTCTTCGTTAAATAAGTTTTGTTCAATTGTAGTATAGTCGATTAGAAAAGTCCATATTGTGTTTTAAAGTGTATATATGGTCTGCAAGAACAGTTTTGAATTGTTTGGGGTTTTTTGAATTGTTTTTATGTTTGTTGTAACCGTTTATTGAGGTTCTGGCTAGTTTCTCTCCTATGTAAATTAAATTGCAGTCTAAACAATTTATTTTGATAGACGAGATTTCTGAGTCGTTCGATATTAAATGGGGTTTTTGTTTTTGTAAAAATA